ACCACCTCCATCCAGGCAGTGGCATCAACCTGGGCAAACTGCCAGGAGCAGCCATCGCGGCAGGCTATCAGCACCCCACCTCCAGTAACCTGGTCCTGGAGTCTAGAAAGAGAGTCCTCTCGGAGTTTCCTTAAGTCCACACTCAGGAAGGGGCAGCCCAGACACCCCTAGTTAGCTCAGCTTCCAAGGAACTGGAGGTTTTGAGGGGGCATAACAAAAATATCAATAACCATGGCTAACATTTACTGCAAAGGAACCCTGATGATACAGTCATTAAAATTAAAAGATAGGTGGGTCAAACCCACCAGCCTCTTCTCAGAAATGTGGCAGTCAACTTCCAACAAGACTGACAGACTTGGAAACCCTATGGGGCAGCTCCACCCTGTCCCACAGGGTAGGACTATGTTACTATGAGTCAGACTGACTGATGCCATTGAGTTCAGTTTGGGGGCTTTCAATATTTATTGCACAATTACTATTGACTAAGCTCTGTACCAATCACTCCACACACCATTTTCTTTAACCCTTGTGAAAATGTCTAGTTGTTGTGTTTTTTTTTTTTAAGATGAGATAGAAGAGGCACAAGAATTCTTGGTTGAAGCTAAAAAGCACTCAAATGCTAACCAAAAGGTTAGTGGTTCAAACCCACTCTGAAAGGCTGGTGATCTTCTTCCTAGAGGTCACAGCCCCATGGAACAGCTCTTCCACCCTGCACACGGGGTGTCATGATTTGAAATCAACTCAATGGTAACCATGAGCAAAGCTGAAGCAAAGCAGCTTGTTAACCTGTGTAAGTCAGAGATGGGGAATGGCTGACACAGAATTTCAAGAGACAGAGAATTTCGATTCAGAGCAAAGGTGTTCAGCTAAAAGGCCTGAGTCCCAGGGCACACAATCAGGGGGGACTCCAGCATGGTCTCTTGGCTTTTCTGCGTCTAAAATGGACACAGCAGGAGCCCCTGTTGCTATGACACTATCTGTTTTAGAAAGTGGATCCCAGGATGTGGGGTGAGAACTGTGAATGTGCTGTCCAGACAGTGGTGAGGTCTGGCTGTCATTCTCAATCATCACTTCCTCCCTGTAGACAGGGCAGGGGACAGGTCACCATCTCTCTGGCCAGGGTCAAGCAGAGCTGGGAAGGCCGTGTGGTCCCTGTGCAGATGGGGGGGTGCACAGGGTGCCCTCTGAGAGATCCACAATCCAAGGGGTTCCCAAAGTAGGCAATGTGGGGACCACAGGAGGCGAAGGGGGAAGTGAGTGTGGAGGAGTCAGCGTGGACACAGGTTTCCCGGCTACAGTCTCTCTGAGTGATCCAGGAGGTCCAGTCCATTAATGCAGCTTCTAGAGTTGATCTGACACAGAGAAATGAAGCAAGTAGATTAACGCAGAAGTGGGGGAACACAACTCTCAGTGTTTTATTGTTACTATTGTGAGGTGCCTTCAGGTCAAGATTCTGTTGAGTAGGACAAAGTAGAACTTCTCCATAGCGTTTCCAAGGCTATAAGTCTGTACAGAAGCAGATGGTCTCCTTTTCCTTCCTCAGAGTAGTTGGTGAGTTCAAAGTGTCAACCTTTCTGTTAACAGCTAAGCGTTAAACCGCTGGACTTCCGGGGCCTCTCTCAGCACCTTGGCACTTGGGAATCCACAACAGTGTTTCTGTGCACGTGTCCATGGTCCCTTCCAATTTTAAAACTGTTATGGGGAAAACATGAGTCCAATGGATTATAGCCGAAATTGCAGCACGTCTTTAAATACTCAGCACAGTGCCTAGCAGGTAGTGGCTGCTTGGGGGATATTTACTGAATGAGTGAGTGAGTGAATGCATGAATAAATGAATGGAATAGAAACTTAAGAGAGGCCAAGATCCCAGAGCTAGTGCCTCCCAGTTGCTTAAGGACCAGGTCTTCTCATTGCTGCATCACTAACAACTGTCATAAAGCTTGTCACAAAGCACAAGATGAGCAAATCCATGGAGTGCACATCTACTCTGTACATACAGACTCTCTACGAATTAGACTCAACTTGACTAACAATGAACGACACCAAGAGGTAGGTTTATGCTGTTTCTTTCAGTAAAATTAGAGGTGATGCCTGTAAGAATAGTTAAGTTTGATTCATTGTGGTGACTTGGTGACAGCAGCTGGAGTGTGACCCAGAATGCCCAAAGCAAAGACGAATGAATTCCCTCTGCCTGGAGGATGACAGGGAGCCTCCTCAGAGACACTATCAGTCTGGCATGGACTGAATTGTATCCCCACAAAAATGTGTCAACTTAAAGGGGTGCATTACAGGGTGGGCTGAGGAAGAGGAAGGGAAAGGGGAGGGGGAGAGAAAATGTGCAACAGTGAATAAATAAAAGGAAAAAAAACCCAACCACGTCAATTAGACGAGTACATGATTCTCATCTGTTTTTTTTTTTATTATTTTTGTGTGCGTGTACCGTCAAATCAGATCTGACTGGTACAGGAGGATATTGCGCCTCCTTCTCCGGCAGAGCATCTGGTGGATTCGAACCGTGTTCCTCTGGGATTGCAGTGCAGCTTCTTGCCACTAGGCCACCAGAGCTCCCCATGATTCTCATCTGTTAAGAAGAGCAAGGACCAGAGTGCAGCAGGTTCTGTGGCCCCAGGTTCACTACACTGAGAACCTCCTAGACCTAGAAGAAGACTGACACCCAAACACCTGGAGATCTCCAGGGGATGCCAGGCTGACAGATGCTGAAAGGAGAAGACGACCTTCCCCCAGAGCCAACAGAGACAGATGCCCTTCCTCTAGAACTGAGTTTTAATATCTAGCCTCCTCAACCTTAGCTCCACCCTCCACACCCATGGTAACAGCTAACAGCCATCAAGAAATCAAGGGATGCATTGCATTGTGAAAATCTGCTGTCAAGGACCTCTCAAAAGTGCTAAAGAGCAAAACTGTCAGTTTAAAGACTAGCATACACCTGATCCAAGACCGGATCTTTTCAACTGGTTTCTATAAATCTAAAAATTCCTAAGAGGATAAGGAATAAGGAAGACAAAGAAGCATCGGTTTGAGTTACGGTGCTGGTGAAGAGGATTGAACATCCAATGGACTGCCAAAAGAATAAATAAATATATCATGCTTGGTAGGGTGGAGGGACAGCGCAGGAAAGAAGGCCCTCTATGAGGTGGATTGATTCAGTGACTGGGGTAAATCGGGATGGGTGTATTGGAGACGGTGCAATTGGCACAGGACAGAGCAGAGTTTAGGGCTGCAGTATATAGGGTCGCTATGAGTCGCAAGCGACTCGATGGCACATAACAACAACAACCACCTTAGAGGAAGTGCAAACAGAGTGCCCCTTGGATGTAAAGATGGTGAAACTTCATGTCACATGCTTTGGGTATGTGTCCTTGGACAGACACATCATGCTGGGATAGGTAAAGAGTCATAGAAGGAGAATGACCTTCGAGGAGATGAATTGACATGGTGACTGTAACAATGGGATTCAGCAAAGAGAAAGGATGTGGCAGAATGGGGCAAGGGTCTGATCTGTTTACAGGGTCACTAGGAATTGTAGCTGACTCAAAGGCACCAACAGCAATAATAAACTTAGAGAAGGAGCCGTACTGGCATAGTGCCTGATGTATCAGGCTACTAACTCAAAAGCCAGCAGTTCAAATCCACTAGCTATTCTGGGGCAGAAAGTTGGACAATTCCCTCCTGTGAAGATTTGCAGACTCAGGAACCCAATGGAGGGGCACTATGAGATGGAATGACTTGACGGCAGTGGAGGTTTTGGTCTTTAAGTGGTGAGAGAATAAAATTCTGGTTTTCAAGTCATGCATGAGTGGCTGCGCTGCAATCCTGAAGGCACGCAGTTCGAGGCCACCAGCTGCTCTGCAGGAGAAGGATGGGCAATCTTCTCCCATGCGATTAACTGCCTCTGAAAACCTGCCTGAGGGTTAGACATGGGTCAGTTCCAACTCGACAGCACATAAGAACAACAACAACACATGTGGTATTTCTGTGACAGCAGCACTACATAGTTAAGACAAGGTCTTTTTGACAGGTGACGTGTGAGTATAGAAAGGCATGCCACGTGAGAGCACAGCCTGAGTGACTCCAACGATGTGTAAGAGGACATGTGCTTCACTCCGCGGACGGCACTAGTTGAATCAGGTACTTTCCCATTCCATAGTATTTGTTTCCTCTGTTTTGACAGTCAGCTGGAATCAGCGCCACCATTCTCTCCCCTCTACTCAAGGGCCCTGTGGTCCCTCCCTGGTTAGTGTCTCAAGTTGGAAATGACAAACAGGTCAGGCACAGAGGTTTCCACATCGGCCCACACCTCTCTGCAGCACAGGCCAGAGAAGCTGCCCAATGAAATTGGCCCTTCTCCCTTCCTCAAGGGCTCCCTGCCCCTCAGACGCCAGATTCTTAGCGTCCGGGCCAGGAGGAGAATGCGAACAGTGACAGTCTAAAGAGGCCTCCATTGTTCCCCTAGGAGTGACTCATACAGGGAACACTTCATCCCAACTCAACCGTGCGCTTTCCCAGTGCATCACTGAGATGACGCGATTGCTAGCCCTGTCAACCTCCATCACTCCCTCAGCTGTGAGAAAGTGTATGCTCCCTGGGCCATCCGTCTGCTTTCCGCTGGACACTGACCTCACCCCAGTGGATGGTGCTCTGTGGCTGCTGAACACAGGTGGGCAAAGATCAAGTAGGAAAGCTCCCTCTGTCTGGCAGACATCTGGGACCTTTGTCCCTTTGGTTCTGACGTCCACCTGACTCCTCTGCGACACTGGGGCCTCCCCTCAGCATGCCTCCCTCTGAAGGGAAAATGACAAATGCTATTTGGTGTGCAGTGGCTTTTTATTATGGATGTGAGTAAGGGGTGTGGGGCTGGGCCTGAGTGAAAGCATCTAGCGTGGCCAGCTCCTGGATTCCAGAAAGGAGTCTACTGTGGTCCCCAGGAGCTGGGGTCTATAAGGTGGGGGCACAGGTTCTTTGAAAAGGAGGCCTGGCCTCTACTTCCACCGTCCGGTAACTTTGGCTTTCCCTCGGGTCTTGGAGCTGCGGAGAAAGAGGACTCAGTCAGAGAGGTGCGGGTCACTGGGCGGAGAAGCCAGTCTGTCACAGAGGCTATGGGGGTCAAGAGGAATAGGCAGGAGCTGAATAGGGCAGCTACCCTACACCCAGCAGTACCCAGTGGGGAGAGGAGAGGGAGGGAGGTGAAGGAGGGAGCCCAAGAAGATGGCTGTGAGCTGAAGGAAGGAGGGAGGGGTGGAGCCCAGAGCCCTCAGCGGAGAGGAGGGACAGAGGAAGTGGGGGTGGCCAAGGAAGGGCCATCAGATACATACACTTTCTGGTTATCATTGATCCTGTTGCGGAGAACATTGATCTGCAAGGGAAGTGGGAAAGGAAAGAGAAGGGATGGAGATCCTATGCTCAGGGTCCTGCTGGCATAGAGTTGGTTGGTAGGGAGAGCAGAACAGCAGTGGAGGAAGAGGAGGAGGGAAGGAGAAGGAGGAAGGGCCATGCCATGCTGTTGGAACAGTGAAGGGTCTCAGAGACAGAAGCCAAGGAAGGGCCTCTGGGCTGCTTTGCTGGCCCCTTGCTGGGGAGTCCCAGGACCACAGCAGGCTCAGGACGAGGGTTCAGGAAAGACCACTTGAGAGCTGCAGATGAATGAAGCTGGGCCCTGGTGTATGGGCTCCAGCCCAGCCTGAGACCACTCTCCCCAGCTTCCCTGCCTGGCTGTCCACCCTCTGCCCAAAACTTGACCCTGTGAGGTGCAGCACTCCCACCACACCACAGTTGTAACACAGTATCTTTTTTTCTTTTTTGTTATCATAATTTCTAATTATTTCCTTTTGCTCCCCTCTCTTTCAGTTGTCATCAATGCAGTATCTTGGCCAAATCTGTGCACCGTCAGCCAATGACTGAGTTAAGCATGGAGCCAGAGGACAGGGAGAAGGTTCACAGCTCGGAGGGAATCAGACCACAGTTCACACTCATAGAGCCTTCAGTGGGAACCAGGCTCTGTGCTAAGAACCTTCCCAAATATTTGCCCACGAGATCACAGTGTAGACTTAATAGCTTAACACACCGGACCCAGTGCTCAGAACAGTGCCTGGAACATGTTATTATGTGCCATCAAGCCAAGTTTGACTCATAGTGACCCTACGAATAACAGATCTGAACCCTGTCCTATCCTGTGCCATCCTCCCTATCTCACAGAGGATATTTTTATTTTATCATCATTATCTCTGTAATCCTCACAATAGCTCTGGTTGGCACACTCAGCTGCTAACCAAAAGGTTGCAAGTTCAGGTCCACTCAGAGGCACCTCAGAAGAAAGGCCAGCCACTGTCAACCCTAGAAGCACTTTGATGCCTGTGGAGACTCCATAAATCGGGATCAACTCCACAGCGGTAGCTTTTCGTTCTCACAATAACCCTGTGCAGTAGCTCCTCTTGGTATCTGGGGGTGTAGGTGGGGAAACAGAGGCATGGCACAAGTTAAGAAACTTGGTCACACAGCTCCAAAGTGGCAGAGTCAGAACTCTGACCCAGGCAGCATGGCCAGAGTCCATGTTCTTCATCACCACGCAATGCCTGCACTCCTCTGAGAAACTGAGGCGGGGAGGCCATTTAGGGCCCTTCCTCCATTGTCTTTCCAAACTCTTTCCTCTCTGCCCAGGCTTCCTCATCCAGCGCTGGGGCAGAATCATGCTGTCATCCTTTTTCCGTATTGAGGGGAGTCATATTGTAGGCATGGGGGCTGGGGAAGCTCAGGAAAGGCCTCCTGGGAGGGAGGGGAGGTTTGGCTGGAGCAGCTGAGCAGCCCCTCCAAAGACAACAATGCACTCCTCCTTAGCCAGGTGGAGAGACCCAGAGGGCAGTGTGTCCAGGTCTGAGCACACTATGCAGGACCAGCGTGAGTGCTGTTGCTTTTCTGTCTCATATCTATATACCTGAGACCCCCATTCACATTCCTGGAACCCTGCAAGGCTGGGGACCTGAGACCCAGCCCACTGGTGGGCACTGTGGATAGAGGGGCTGCATCCATGGTGCCCTCCTCTCTGCATACAGTCCCCTACCCCACTCACAGGAATGTCTGCTGGGAGGAAGGAAGACCCAGTAGCTGGAGCCCTAAGAAAGTGACGCTGCTCAGTCCCAGCCAAGCTTAGGTGCCCCTCGCAAGAGCAACATGTGGGATGGGCACGTAACACTGCTGGGCTGGAGGTAAACTGAAGGCAAACTGGGATAGGGACCTGACTGACAGCAGAGGCGTGAGACCTGCTCGAACCAGGAGCTGGAGGCATCAGAGGCGCTGGAAGCAGGGCTTGAAGTAGTCAGAAGAGGAGCAGTGTGTGGCTCACCTCGTATTTCTGCTGCTTGAACTTCTCCTGCAAATCGAACTTCTCCGCCTCCAGGTTATAGATGCTCTGCCACAATTCCTTGGCCTTCTCCCTGCACAGCCCAGTGGGAGAGGGGGATTAGGAAGGGCCTCCCGGCTTCCTCCAGGTCCTGACCCAGCCCCGGGGACCTCAGCCCTCCTTCTTGTCCCCAGGCCTGCTGAGGGAGAGCGTTCCAGCCCAGTGTACTGCCTTGGCTTGGCCCAGCCCGGGGTCAGGCAGGGCCTGCACTCAAGGACACATACCAGGACCCGCCAGGGTTAAGTTCTAGGGGTAAAGAGAAGGAAGAAAAGCTAAAGTCACACCAGAGAAAACCTGGCTTAGTCTCCTTGCTTCCAACACTATGCAGGTGAGTAGGATGAGCCTTATCTTTTCCTTACTAGCAAAGCCAGGCAGCAGAGTGGGTAACATGCCAGCCACTAACCAAAATGTCAACTCTTTTCATCCACCCAGTTGCTCCACAGGAGTAAGATGGACAGTCGTAAGATGGACAGTGTCCTCTTACAAAGAGTTATAGCTGGAAACCAGTGGAAGGTAGCTGTGAACCTGGCTCAGCTTGATGGCAATGGTATTAGTAAGGCGGACTAGAGAGTCGGCCTCAGCGCCAAATGTGCCCGGGGAAATGTGTGGGGTGGTAGCGCCCCCTGGTGGTTACAGGAGGCCATGCCCTCTGCCCTGACTCCTACAACACTCATTGCCAAGTCCTTGAGATCACCTCCCAGCTCACCTCAGCTGGTCTTCATTCAGGTGGTCGATGGCCAGCACCTTCCTCCTCTCAGCCAGGATTTTCTTCTTCTTTTCCCGCTCTGTCTGCCTCTTCCCACTTTTCTTCTCTGTCTGAAAGGGGTGGCATAAACAGGGAAAACTGAGACCAACCCTTTTTCATCTCCCAGCCCTCCCTAAACCCAATGGGGGAAATGTTCTTCCTGCAAACCACCCCCATCCCCGCCCCCGCCCCCACTGCATCAGGATCTGGATTCCCCAGAGAAACTGAGTCGGGGAGGGGGGCAGGGTGAGTCAGTTTGGCCTCTTCCTCTTTGGTCTCCCAACTTCTTCCATCTCTCTACAGGTTCCCACTCCCCACCTAGGCCAATCTCCACAGCCTCCCCTCCCTGGAAGCTCAGAAAAATGACGAGGAGGAAGAGGGCTGAGGGTTTGGTACCCACCTGGGCCTGCAAAGCCAGGAAACCATGAGAGAAAGACCCAGAGAGAAAGACCAAGACAGAGACACAGAGAGAGGGCAGGAGTCGGGCAGGAGACAAAGGCAAAGAGAGAGGGAAGAAGATGATTCAGATCCACACGGCAGGCAGCCTAGACTATAGGATGTGACTCTGCAGGGCTGGGCTAGGCACTATTTGGTGACAAGGCTGTACCAGTGGTTTGGCTGGGGTGGGGGGTGGTGCGCCGTGGGGGCAGAGGCCAGGTGGCTGACCTGGCTCTGAGCTAGAGACTTTGGAAATCTAAGAGAATGTTTTAGACCCTTCTGCAATAGAGGAAATCAATTTTTGCATACCCATTCCTCCCTTGAGAGCAGTGTCTGGTGACATTCCCAGGGATAAACACAACCTCACAAATGTGCAGCACATAGGTGCTTTCTTATTAGCGCACTTGGTCTTCTCTAAGCAGTCAAAGCAGGCAATATCAATCTCAGCTTACAGATTTGGAAATTTAGGTTCTGAGACATTGCAGAAGGCCACACAATTGCACGTGGCAGAGCTGGTCTCCGCGCAGAACCCAGACTCAAGATGCAAACTGTACCAGCTGTACCTGACGCCCCCTGAGGGCCCCTTGAATTGTTCCAGCTGTACCTAAAACTCCCTGAGGGTCCCTGAGCCCCCTGAGGGCCCCTGGATCTGAAGAGCCCCAGGAAGGTGAAGCATTGTTGCTGCCTGCTCTGGCTGCAGTGCTCACCCCCGCCGGCGCCCCCTAGTGGACACCACAGCCCTGCTGAGGGGCAGCTCAGGTCTTGTGCAGGGCGAGGTCTCAGCCTCTTTTCCACAGCAGCTGGGAAATTCTTCTGGGATCTAACCTCAGTTCATCTGCTACAAGAGGCACTTCATTCCTCACAGATGTACCAGGACCCCCTGGCAACCGCTGTTGCTCCCTTGCCTACCTTCTGGATATATCCTCCAAAGTGCATCATGTTGGACAAAGCCTTCTTCTTCCGAGCCTCATCCTCAGCCTTCCTCCTGTTCTCCTCCTCCTCTCGTCGGGCCCTCTCTTCCTGATTGGAGGGGTAGGGTGAAGAAGAGAACACACTGATTGAAGGGGAGACATTTTTAATGCAGCTGCTGATGTTTATGGGCGGGAGCTCTGGAGGTGTAGTCCAGTGGGATGCACTGCTGGCCCAAGTGAAAACTTGCTTCTCATTCAAATCTACCAAGGGCTGGAGGGAGAAAATAGACAATCTCCTCCTGTGTGATTTCCACACACTTAATGGAGTCAGTTCCAAGTAAACAGCAGTGAGTTTTTGTTCAGTCTTTATGGATGGGCTAAGTCTTCTTCCCTTGTGCAAGGACCTATCCAAGGACACGAGGTGTGTTCACTGAATGAATGAGGATCTGATCCCCAATTTTGAGATGGTGAGGTGCGTCATGTGTTGGGGCTGCTAACTAAAAGGTTAGCAGTTCAAATCCACCAGCTGCTTCACAGTGGGGGAGACGGGAATGGGCAGTCTCCTCCCATAAAGATTTACAGCCTCAGAAAGCCAATAGAAGATTGCCATGATCTGGACTCAAAGGCAATGGGCTTGGCTTTTTTGGTTACATTCTCTCAGGGAAGCCTTTTGCCTGGGAAAAGAAGAAAGTGAGGGGACCCTCAGTTCCTAGACAGCTTAATGTGAGGAAAGAATGAAGACCAGAGAGGCAATAAAACATTAAGTTCATAAAGACGCACACATTGTCTTGTTCACCTGTGAGCTTTCAGCACCAGGGCAAAGCCTTGGGTTTAAAAGTGCTTGTCTCTTTCTTAATTTTTTTTTCCCCCTGTAATTCTTTTTTTTTTTTTACACTGGTTTACCTACAAAGTTTATATACATTGCCCCTCACACCAGATCCCCCCACCTCTCCAACGCATTAAACCATGCGACCCCATGATTACCTGCCCTCATCTATGCCCACCCCTTCCTTCCCTCCCCTTAGATCCTCATACACGTTTTACTACTTAGCTGTTTCTACAATAATGGTCTTATACAGTATTTGTCCTTATGGGACTGAGTTAGTTCAGTAAGTGCTTGTTTCTCGATTGACTGAATCAATATCCATAAGTAGAGGGGGATGCTGGAGTACTGCAGGGGTCTCCAGGAGCCAGAGGGGAGCTGGATGCTTGTCGAGGCTCTCTGTGGTGGGGTCAGGGTCACTCACAGCCAGCCGGTTCTGACGCTCCTTCTCCCGCTCATTCCGGATCCGCTGCTGCTCCGCCCGCTCTGCCCTCCGCTTCTCCTGCAGGGGAGATGGGTACGTGCAGGGAGGTGTCTTCGGACTTGCAGGGACCACGGGGAACTTTCCCTCACAGGGGTCTCGGGACAGTGGTTGCCCACATCTAGAGGCATTGTCACAGTCCATCCCCAAGGACTGTACTCCCAGCCAGTTTACAGGCAGGGGCACCCAGTGCCCAGGTGTGCCAGTGCGAGGCGGCGTCCTGGTAATGGAAGGCAGGCCCACAGTGGAGTCTGAAACAATGCATTGTTCATAGTGGAGTCCGAGAGAATTTGGGAAACGGAAATGCTGGGTAGGCTACACCTAGTTGCACCCCGGTCCAGCCCCAGCGGCTGCTCTGTGCCCAAAGACAGTGCCTCCACAGAGGCCAGCCAGATTAACACATACATCTG